TTCAGCCTCGGCCTCAGCCTCAGCCTGCCTCAGCCTCAGGCTCAGGCTCAGCCTGCATCAGCCTCAGCCTCAGTCTGCCTTCAGCCTCGGCCTCAGCCTCAGCCTCAGCCTGCCTCAGCCTCAGCCTGCATCAGCCTCAGCCTCGGCCTGCCTCAGCATCAGCCTGCCTCAGCCTCAGCCTCAGCCTGCCTCAGCCTCTGCCTCAGCCTGCTTCAGCCGCAGCCTCAGTCTGCCTTCATCCTCGGCCTCGGCCTCAGCCTGCCTCAACCTCAGCCTGCCTCAGCCTCAGCATCAGCCTGCCTCAGCATTCAAAATGTGGCCCGGGAATGGAGTTCTGGGATCTCGAAGAACACGAAGTGGCCTACAGTTGGCTCCGGGCATTCTAAATCATGCCCAGGAAAGGAATTCTGGGAATCGAAGACCACGAAGTGGCCTACAGTTGGCTCCGGGCATTCGAAATCATGCCCAGGTGCCCAGGAATGGAATTCTGGGAACTCGAAGACCACGAAGTGGCCTACAGTTGGCTCCGGGCATTCTAAATCATGCCCAGGATTGCAATTCTGGGAACTCGAAGAACATGAAATGGCCTACAGTTGGTTCCGGGCATTCAAAATCATGCCCAGGAATGGAGCTCTGGGACCTCGAAGACCACGAAGTGTGTAGCTGTTTGCTTAAAACGACTTCCGCGGATCCCTGTCCGGATGCCGCCCAGACCCCCCTGGGGAGTCATGATGCTCTCTTTTGACCCTATTAGCAGCCTATCAGTCTTCGCTGTTAGGTAACAATAGGTCGTACTCGCAGCAGTAGTAGTAAACGTACCAACTCACAGCGCCAACGACAATAAAACCAAAACTAAAGTGAGACGATCAAGAACGACAGTAGTTGCAGCAGCAGGCATGCACGTAGCCGAAGTACTACTCGTGCTAGTAGTGCGAGATGAACCTCACAGAGGCTCTCCGAACCTCTCTCAGAACCTCACAGAGGCTCTCAGAACCTGTTTCAGAACCACTCAGAGGCTCTCAGAACCGCTCTCAGAACCTCACAGAAGCTCTCAGAACCTGTTTCAGAACCACTCAGAGGCTCTCAGAACCGCTCTCAGAACCTCACAGAGGCTTTCAGAACCTCTCTCAAAACCTCACAGAGGCTCTCAGAACCGCTCTCAGAACCTCACAGAGGCTTTCAGAACCTCTCTCAAAACCTCACAGAGGCTCTCAGAACCTCTCTCGGAACCTCTCAGAGGCTCTCAGAAACTGTCTCAGAACCTCTCAGGAGGCTCCGAGAACCTCTCTCAGAACCTCTCAGACGCTCTCAAAACCTCTCTCAGAACATCTCAGAGGCTCTCAGAACCTCTCTCAGAACCTCACAGAGGCTCTCCGGAACTGTCTCAGAACCTCTCAGAGACTCTGAGAACCTCTCTCACAACCTCTCAGAAGCTCTCAGAACCTCTCTCAGAACCTCTCAGAGGCTCTCAGAGGCTCTCAGGGGCTCTCAGGGGCTCTCAGAACCTTGCAGAAGCTCGGAGCCTTTCGAAGGCTCCAAAGTGGTTGGGATCTCACCCGTCCCACGTGTCCTCGACGGTTGGGATCTGAACCGTCCGGTTGGGATCTGAACCGACCGGTTGTGATCTGGACCTTTCTCCTCGCTGCCCCCGAGTCCTGGGGCCTGGGGCCTGCGCGCTGCGGGGGGGCCGCGGCGCCTCCGCGGGCGGCGGGGCGCGGCTCGGGGCCTCTCAAGGGGCCGTCGTCGTTGTCGTCGTCGTCGTCCTCCTCCTCCTCCTCCCTATCATTATTATCCTCCTCCTCCACCCCTGCGATCTGGGCGCGCCAATTTCTTTACACCGGACGTTTTCGCACGGCTCCGGGCCCTTGCAGGACGATCTGGCTCGAACAGTGCAGCAGAACGGCAGGGCCTCGGGCCCTTGTCGTGATTTGTCGAACGAAGTTCACTTTTTCGTGCCGTCGCCCTCGCCGGCCCTGGCCTGGCCCACCCTGTGCGTCCAAGATCGGCGAGCGCGCCCTTTCCCCCCCCCCCCCCCCGGCTTGGCAGGGGGGGCATAGGCACGGCCCAGCCCAGACGGGCGAGGCGGGAAAAGCAGCTCCCAGACATCCCGCCGAGTCGTTTTGTCCACCAGCGGGCCCCCAAGGAGGTCTCGGCCCCTTCTGCAGGCCATGATTTTTTCGTCCGGACCCATGATTGATTGCCCCAGGGCCAGAAAGCGGTCTCTCCACTAAGCCGACTCTGGAACCGACAACCACCGCGACTACAAATAGTCAGCCTGCCCGACCCAAATCTGTTTCCAAACGCGGGGCATCCATGTCATCTCGACAACTCCCAGGCGCCGGTTTTCCTGCCAGACCGTTTCTTTTAGCGGCCCCGAAGCCTGAAACTGCGCCTGGCCGCCGAACACCATGGAAAACAGCCGCCTTGTTTTCTTCAAGACGGTGGAGGTCTGGGTAATTGGCCAGTGGATCTGAACCATTAAGTGTCGGAAATCCGCGCAGATTTCTTGGATCTGCGCTGGACTCCCCCTCCCCGGCGAGCGAAGCGCGTCAGGGGCGGCGCCGCCAGGATCCCAAACAGCCGCGCGGACCTCCAGCAAACCACTTCATGCGATGGGAATCACCACCAAGCGAAGACATACTGGGATGGCACAGGGGTTTCTACACGGATGTCGAGGTGGTTGTGTCTGGCCCAACCTGGCTTAAAAGTGGGCTAGACATGCCCCAAGTTGCTAAGGGGGGTTAGCGATCCTGGCTAAGTGTGCTACGTCCACTTAGCAGAATTATCCACCCCCCCTAAGCCACTAGGGGCATGTGTATAACCCACTAATACGCCAGAGTGGACCAGATCCGCCACCGTGCCGCTGGGCACGGGGTGGGCGTGTCCTTCGGTCCTTCTGCCTGCTGCCAAATCTTCTTGGGCTTGGCGAGTGCCCCCTGGGGTTCCTGGCATATCCCCGCGTCAGGCCAAGACGCCGCAGGAGTGGGGGAGCAAACGGGATTATGTGGGGGGGGCGGGTACCCGCGCAAAAGGGGAAGGGCGCGTCTCCGAGCAAAGGGGAGGAGGAGGCGGAGGAGGAGGAGGAAGAGGAGGAGGACCAGTGTAAACCCAAGACGCACTCAAGATGTTGCAATCAGCCCTCACTCCAAGTTCCCACTTCATAGGTTCCTGCAATGATTCATTTTCATTGCGGGCAGTGCCTCAGTGAAGACAACCATCTGAGAATCCTACACCGTGCCGAAACATCAGTCGGGGGAGGAGGAGGAGGAGGAGGAGGAGGAGGAGCAAGAGGAATAAGATGGGGGCCCTGGCATCCGCCGATAATCGTGTTTCAATCCGCGGGTCCCAAGGCCGATCACGGGCCCTGGAGGCCGGAATCGAAGAAGAACGCCCAGACGGAAAAAAACAGATCGTCGGTCATCTGAGGGTACTGCTGGGGTGCATCTTCTTGATGCGATTGTGTTTTTCTTTGGCCGACGACCCCGACCGGGGGGTCGCGCCCCGGGGCAAAGGGGGAAAGGAGAGGAGGAGGAGGAGGAGGAAGAGGCAGAGGAGGAGGTAGTACTACACCCTGATTGTGGCACTGCACTGCTGAGAAAGCTTGCTGGAAGGAAAGATAATGAGGACCATGATCAAGGCACAACCGTCTAGCTTGGTCCCCGTCGATTCGTGAAGCATCCTCGTGATTCGGCGACGGCCAACATGGAGCATGGCCAATATCGGCGTCGACGAAATCCCGCGACTTCATGGTCATGGTCATCGTGTTTCTTCCCTCGAACTCTGATGATGCGATTTGACATTCTTCGGCTGACGCCTCCCGCGCCCCTGGCAAATTGGGGGGAAGGAGTGTAGGGTTATGCGTCCCAGGGTTAAGAGGAAGAAAAAGAGGAGGGAGGAGGAGGAGGATGAGGATGAGGAGGATTTGTTTACAGTGCGCCGCTAGCACCCAGGCTCCAAGGGCAGAAAACCTGCCAGGGACTGGCCGCCAGGGCAGAACAATTATGCATCAACCCAAGATGCGGCGGTCTTCGCCGGAGGAAGGCCTTTACAAGTCCTCTGCAAAACTTACAAATGCGCCTTGCTTACAACATGCGGTCCGTGCGTGACGGCAAGACACGGACCCCTCAAGAAAACACCGGGAGACCTGTTGGCCCAAGACCCGCACTCGCCACAGAAGAAACAAACATATGACTTACGCCACAACACGTGCGTGGATGGCACAGGCTTGCCGGAAATCCAACGGGAAACTCGAATTGGCTCGGGGTCCAAGCGAAGGGATCGCCACAGGGACTCGTCTCGGGGCGGAAGTTGCCTGCTTGGACGGGCCCATTTTCTCGAAGATCTTTCCCCGTTCCCGTCCTCACGCACACGCTCACGCACACATAGCCCCGCACCTCTCTCCAAGGAGGAGGAGGAGGAGGAGGAGGAGGAGGAGGAGAAGGAGAAGGGGACGTACACCCTGATCAGGGCACTGCTGGAATACACCCCGGACCCCGATTTCTTGCTCGTATCAATGCGGAATTTCCGGAGCTCTGGACCACTTCCCAGTGACAGGTTCTTCGTCCCCAGATATTTTTGTTGACGGTCCAGGGGCCCTGCGAAGGCCCCCAGACGCCGAAAGCGGCAAAAGACCGGCGTCTTTTTTGGGACGTTTTCAATCCTCTAGAAGCCTGGGACGAGACCCTGTTGACGTAATGTTCTCTTCTTCGGCTGACGCCCCCCGAATGGGGCCCCCCGAACCATGTGGTGACGGACTGCGTGGTGACCTCAGAACCCCCCAGCGACCTCACCGCGCGGCCCGTCACCGCACGGTTTTGTCTTTCGGCTTCGTGCGCGTGCTTTTGTTGCTCGATAGTCCAAGATGCTCATCGATGGCCCTCGCCGAGAGAGCAAAGGCACACGTCCGAACGATGCCAAGCGTTTGGGAGGGCACCCGGCCCCAACCCCAGAGGGTGCCGCCTCCCAGGGCGTCTGCCTCCTTGCGCTTCCTCGGCGCCGGCCGCGGCCCCAGCGCCCGCCGCGCCGCGTGCTGGCACACGGCCAGCCGGAAGAAGGCGAAGCCCGAGCAGAAGAGCGCCTCCGAGGGGGAACGGCAGGGCCAGATCTCCGACGTCCGCTTCCTTAGCGGCCTCTCGCTGGAGGGTCCCAACGGTGGGAGAAAGAGAACCACAGAAGAGTCCCAAAAGGGGCACGGGGAGCCCGAGACCGCCTGGTCCGAAGGCAGTCCGACGGCCGTTTCGCCTCAGACTTTCTCTCACAATCTATGGAGGAATCGTGCTTTCGCCTCGACAGGCCCAGATCTCCGACGATGTGGGCGCCTTTTCCTTGACTTCAAGGGCGGGTCCCGGACGGAAGACTGAGTAATCACCCCTGCGTGGGGAAGGGGTCGGGACCTCCGAAAACGCAAACTCCCTCGCCCTCGAGTAGTGAAACAGTCACGACGGACAATTGTCCGCCGTTTTCGACATCTGGGGGACACTACTGCGCCCTGGGACAGTGACCCTTGTGGGCCCCCAGACGATGCGGTGGCAGAACCCAGCGGACCTAGAACCTCGAGGGGCCCATCAGCCTCTCCACCATCCATCCTCGCCCCAGTCCTCCGCTGCCACAGACCCCGATTTTCGTTGGCGGCGCGCCCAGGGGGGAAGTGAGAAAGGTCAGGCCTTTTCAGAAAGTGGAGGGACTTCTCAGACACCCTCCGGCCTTCTGAGAAACCGTGTGCGTCTTCGGAGAAGGCCTCGAACACTTCTCAGAAGACCAGAGGCCTTCCGAGCCTTCTGAGAAGGCCCGTCCCCTCTGACCTCCCCCTGCCCTGAGATCCGACGGCGCGAAACAGCAATGCGACACCGCGAAACACCACGACCAGAGCCCTGGCCTCCACGTCTCTTCCTGCCGCCTTCTTCGAGCTGCATGGGGTCGATCTGCGGGGGGTACCGGGCCCCGATCTGATGCGGCTCGACTCGACCGAATTGCGGCGTCAGGACCTCAGGGCGGGCTCGCCGCCGAGTTCGCCCGCCCCGCAAGGAGGCGGCGCCGCGAGGAGGAGCTCGGCGCCGATGGCGTCGAGGACCCCGGCGGGTGCCCCGCAGACGTCCTCGCCGGGCAGGGCTGGCGGTGCGAGGTCCGCGCCGCGTGCTGTGCCCCTGCTCGCGGTCCTCTCGTGCTTTGAGCAGGGACCGACCGTCGCGGTATTCCTGTAGTTCTAAGAACCCCTCAATGTGCGAAGAACAAAAACAATGCTATTAGAACATGAGCCCGATGATATGAAACAGGACAGTCCCAGCCAGAAATGTTCTAAGAACCTTTCGTGCAGACCACACAAGTCTCTTAGAACATTGTTTGGTAGGACTATAGGCACGCGAGGACGCTTCGCCACGGCCTGAAGTGCTCCACCTCCTCGTGCAGCCGGACCTAACAGAAAAACGCCCTTCAAGAACATGAGGCCCTCCGCCGGCCAAGACTGAAGAGCATTCGAGGGTGCCCTCCACTGGGATGCACAAGAACATCCAACAAACACAAATATCATCAAGATGCCCTCCACGAACCGACCTCGATCTGATACCTCGGTCCGACTGTACCCACCTCGTTGTAATCTTGTTCGCACCTGGGCGCTCTCACCCAATTCTGACCCTAAGACCCTCACAGATCGATCAGGCTTGAAAAATTGTGCGGAAGGATGGGGTCTATGGGCTCCAGGCGTGATTTTCTCCCGTGCTGCCTTTTCTTCGAGTCGTCCGATCTCAATTTGTTCCTGATTCTGCCCCCCTGGGGTCCGTTAGTTGTCGTGCCCCAGGCCTATAAAACACTGCTTCGGGACGAAAAACTACCATCAGGGAAGGGGCCTGTCTCAGATTTGCGACGATATGACCCCCCAGTAGGGTTTCGCCAAGGAGGGTTCTCATGCATCGTCGCGACCCAAAAGTGGGTCCAGCTGAAAAGGGGTGGTGCAATAGGCTGAGGGTAATTGTATTGCAAATGTACTGCGCCAGAGAATTGTTTTGCATCGCATTGAACTAATGTATCGCACGCGAAGCTTGAGCAATACATGTTCGCACCGGAATGTTCTGCACACCCCAAATCTATTGCAACCCCACAAACCTACTGCACCAAATCTGTTGCACCACCCCCTTTTCGCTGGACCTCCTTTTGGGTCGACCAGAATACATGTGATATGGAGCCACAGAAGAGTCCCGTCGGCGGTGTACAAACCTCCCTTTAGTAGACCTCCCCTTAGTGGAAACGGCCTAAAACCGAAACCGACGGACCTGGACCCGCAATAATGACGGCTGCGACGCCCTCTCGCGAACCGAAAACGGCCAATTCCTTAATCGACGTGTCAGGCTAGGACATCTGTCTATTCAGAAATCGTGCCCTCGCCTCAATTCGAACAACGCCAGGACGAGCAGCAAATCTGGCGATGATGTATCGGGAATCTCTGAGATCCGGCGGCTCTGGAAGATGTCTCGGGCGCAGCGGCCTTCTCAGAGTGTTCGGGAACGCTTTGGAATGGATACATCCTCGTCGTAACCCCGTCCGATCAATGCAAGTTACATGTTTGACCCCAGACGGCCACAATTCGTGGTCAACAAAAACACGCAACTGTGCACATGGCCGTGCTCTCACTCACACGTCCCTAACAGCCGACATGCTACTCCTCGACCCGCCTCTTCACTTCACTTTTGGTGCCATTGCATCTGGTGCTTTTTCTAATCAAGGCGTCTCTCTTCTATGTCGGCGGGCCCCGGCACAATTAAAATCAGGCCCAGAACCAAACATTGCCCCTGGGAACGCGGTCGTCGGGACCTCTGGGGCCGCGCATTGAAAAACATATCGTCGGACGTATGGAAGTCTCAGCTTCTCCGCAGTAAAACTAAATCTGAGGGGATGAGAGGGATGAGGGACGACGGGAAGGCTAGGAGGGAGGAGGGGAAGAGGAATCAGGAGAGGGAGCAAGGGGGGAAAAGGGGAGGAGAGAGGAGAGGGGGGAAACGGGAACCAAGATGCCACAATCATCGAATGCTGCCCGTCCATCGCCGCGCATTTGAGACGCTGCGCGCCGGCGACATCGCAGAACGCGGACGTCGACGCAAACATGTTGTCGTCATGGGGGCAAACGATTCAGAAAATGCCCCCCCCCGTCCCGGGGGCCCCAAAATGAATGAGTTGGGCAGACTAATAAAATTCAGCCGTCGGAAGCTGTTTTTTCAATCGTCTGCCCCCGTGGCATTTTTTTGCCGCCTTGTGGAAAGTGATTTTCTATTCGTCCTCCTGCGTTCGTTTGATCACCCGCGGCCGCGGGAGGAGGATTGCGGAGAGAAGGCGCCGGAAGCGCCGCTAGGGACTCCCAGCGCAGATCCAGGAAATCCACGGAGGACCGCCGAAAATTGATGTTTATGCAATGCTGTCATCCCCGACTTCAGAACCAACCTGAGTCGGCACCTCTTCGGAGAAACATGTCGATACAGAGGGAATGTGTGCACAGAAGCAAAAGACTGTGCGATGGCAGATGCGGCCATCACAGGAGCTGGATCAACTTGTGCGCCCGTTGGTCCTTTGAGTGTTGCGTTGAGAATTCAGACCTCTTGCGTTCAGCTGCATGCATCTTCGACTGATTCAGTGATGTGCAAACGATTCTTCTGATTTCGTCCGCTTGTCCTGTTATTGTCATATATGTTCGATGATGCTATTTTTGCCTCCTCTAGCGACGGTGGCGGCGGGGGGAAGCGCGAAGCTGTCGTCCTCGCGGACGGCCCAACTGTCGTCCTCGCGGACGGCGGTTGGAGCTTGAAACTGCGGCCAACGCTGCCGCGGGAGCAGCGTGTCGGAAGAACCGAACAAGTTCGGATTGAACAGATATGAACAACACACTCCCCCAATCCTGTGTAAAAACACAGCGCGCAGGAGGATTCGACCCGAACGGAAGCTTGAACATGAGGAAAACGTTATTTTGGAAGAGCCGAACACGTTCCGATTGGAAAACAAATATGAGAAACGGATTCGCGCCAAACGTGTGTAATTAAAACACACAATACGCGGAGGGGTGCAGGCAATCTTCCAGAGTGCATTAGAGGCGACGGGGAACAAATTCATAGTATAACTGCAGAGGAACAAAAATTAGCAGGGGGAAGGTGACAAGGCATAGAAAAGCGAGGGGAAGGAGGAGGAGGAGGAGGAGGAGGAGGAGGAGGAGGAGGAGGAGGAGGAGGGGGAGAAGAATAGGAAGAGGAGGTGGGGAAGGAGGTCGCTGTCTGAAGACGGCGCAGACTGTCTGCCTTCCGCGCAAGACTGGCGAAATTTATACTTCCCATTCAGGGCTGGCCAACAGCAACCCCCGCGGCCTCGAATTTTCCGCCCCTGCGCATTCGAATCGTCAGCCCGCGAAATCCTTCCCAACTTTTGCTTGCCCGGCTCTGAATTGACCCCGCCCCCCCACCTGAATTGTCAGCCCGCGCCCCCGCCCGGGCCTCCAAACAACCCGGGATTGTCCGCCCTCCGTCTGCCTGCCCCGCCCCCCCGCTATTGCGGTGGCGTGTGTGCCCGCGAAAGTATTGTTTTATCCGTCCGCCCCTCAAAATAAGTTTTTGTTTGTGTGTTTTAAGCGTGTGCTGTCTTTAACGGGATGGACGAAGACAAATCCGTGGCGCAAGTAAAATCAGACAGCATTGAATCGCTAAACCAGGCCTGATCGGAACGAGCATCGGATCGGGCTGCATCGGTTCCAAATCGATCGGACCGAATCAGTCACGCACGGAATCACGACGTTTCCGTGGGAGCATCGTACCGCATCGTGTCATCGGAATCGAATCGGATCGGGCTGCGATCAATATCGGATCGATCGGATCGAACTGGACCCTGGGCTGCGTTTGCCGCCAAGAGTCGCGAACACTTGCGCGTCGGCGAAGACCTCGACGCCTCTACGGTGGGGTTCTGGGCCCTCCTCCCTCCTCACTCCTCCTTCCCCTTGTAGACGAACAAGAACGGCATAATCACACACTCGGAGGTCCAAGCGGATTTCGTAGATCGGAGCGCGGCAACGGCTGCAGCGCCGACCAAAGAAACACTTGCGGACCTCAAATTACGTTTGTGCAACTTGTTCTTCCTCGATCCTCCCTCCTACAGACCGCTGAATCAGGGAAGACGGAGTTCCCTGGCCTCGGCGAGCCTGTGCTAATAGTGGGCTCCCCGACCCGGATCGAAGTAACCGAGAACCAGAGCAGCGTCTTGACTGTATGCATTTGTTTGTTTTCCTCGCTCCTCCCCCCTTCTCTCAGACAACTGGCGCTCCTACTTTTTTCGATGTGTGGGCCCACGAGCCTCCCGAACCCTTCCCCAACTGCTGGCTCTTCATCCCGAGCCTTCTGACGGCTCCGAAGCCCGAAACCCAGACATCCAATGCGTGTTTTTTCCCAACCATCCTGCGGTGTTGGGTCATCGTTTTGAAGAGACGGTGCCCCGCGTCTCCTTCCTTCCTCCTCCCCCTCCTCCCTCCTCCCCTATCCTGGCTTTTGCTCTCCGCATGTCTCTGTTTCGGCACACCCCTCACACGCTTCGTGGCCCCATAGGGAGCTCCACCTAAGGTCCCAGTGGCGGAACTCGCATGGCGCCGCCGCCCCATTTTGGCACACCCCTCACACGTTTCGTGGCCCCATAGGGAGCTCCACCTAAGGTCCCAGTGGCGGAACTCGCATGGCGCCGCCGCCCCATTGTGGCACACCCCTCACACGTTTCGTGGCCCCATAGGGAGCTCCACCTAAGGTCCCAGTTGCGAAACTCGCATGGCGCCGCCGCCCCATTTTGGCACACCCCTCACACGTTTCGTGGCCCCATAGGGAGCTCCACCCCAGGTCCCGGTGGCGGAACTCGCATGGCGCCGCCGCCCCATTTTGGCACACCCCTCACACGTTTCGTGGCCCCATAGGGAGCTCCACCTAAGGTCCCAGTGGCGGAACTCGCATGGCGCCGCCGCCCCATTTTGGCACACCCCTCACACGTTCGTGGCCCCATAGGGAGCTCCACCTAAGGTCCCAGTGGCGGAACTCGCATGGCGCCGCCGCCCCATTTTGGCACACCCCTCACACGTTTCGTGGCCCCATAGGGAGCTCCACCTAAGGTCCCAGTGGCGGAACTCGCATGGCGCCGCCGCCCCATTTTGGCACACCCCTCACACGTTTCGTGGCCCCATAGGGAGCTCCACCGAAGGTCCCCGTGGCGGAACTCGCATGGCGCCGCCGCCCCATTTTGGCACACCCCTCACACGTTTCGTGGCCCCACAGGGAGCTCCACCTAAGGTCACAGTGGCGGAACTCCCATGGCGGCGCCGCCCCATTTTGGCACACCCCTCGAAGGATCAGGATGAAGGATGAGGACGAAGAGGAGGAGGAGGAGGATGAGGAGGAGGAGGAGGAGGAGGAGGAGGAGGAGGAGGAGGACGAGGAGAACGAGGACGAGGACGGGGCGACCAGCGCGCGTCGCGGGAATTCCGCGCTGCGCTCTGCCCAGAGCCTCGCTCGCCCCCGTCGTCGCTCTGCCCAGCGGCCACAGTCTTGCCCGCTATCACCAGCCAGCTAGCACTCTCTCTGCTCCGCGCAGCGGACGACCCGCGCGCGTCGCCGGGACCCCTTCGGGGCGACCAGCGAGCGTCGCGGGGACTCAGTGCGGCGCCGCGCCCGCAGCCATGGACATCGGCGTGCACGGGCAAAGAGGCAGAAAAAAAGGGGAAGGAAGCCGACATGGGCGTGCCGACATGGGGCGTGCCGACATGGGCATGCCGACATGGGCTTCGACATTCATGCACGTAGACTGATTCGCACGCAGACACGTTCACAATCAGACTTACTCGCGCTCAGGCTCACCCGGTCTCAGTCTCGCGCACTCAGAGCGATCGTCTTTGTTCGTATTTGGGACCCCGCCACGCATTTCGGCACGCCCCCTCACACGGTTCGTGGCCCCATAGGGAGCGCGAGCGAAGACGAGATCCACAATCGCGGTATTCACAACTGCATATGGTTGGGTCCTTCGCCAGGCTAATTTCCAGTGCTGGGTCCCCAGCAGCCCCGAGCCTTTCACAAAACCCTGGACATCGAACCCTCCACCCTCCATCCTCGCCCCGGTCCTCCACTGCCGCTGCCCCCAGCTCGTTCGCCCGCCCCGAGAGGAGAAGGAGCAGGAGGAGGAGGAGGAGGAGGAGGAGGAGGAGGCGGAGGATCAGGAAGCAGGAAACAGGAGGAGGAGGCAGAGGATCAGGAATCAGGAAACAGGAGGAGGAGGATCAGGAAACAGGAAACAGGAGGAGGAGGAGAACCAGTGCGAACCCAAGGCTCGTCAACGATGTTGGAGTACACTCTCCCTCCAACATCCCTCTTCATAGGCCCTTACAAGGGGTCATGTCGACTGAAGGAATTGCCCCGTTGGGGGACAACCGTGCGAATATCCTGATACGTACCAAAACACCGTTCTCAGGACTTCAACGCCACGAGTCAACCTGACCGCCTCGAGTTAACCTGACCGTTACGTCTTGGCGACCAGGATCGTGCCAGACTGCCATTCCTGGGACTACAACAACGCGAATCAACGGAACTGTTGCGCCCCGACAACCCTGGGTCTGCACGTTAGCCATGAGAAGCAATGACACTGTTTAACCTTTTTGAACACGAAGGCGCGCGGCGCTTAAGCGGGAATCGCATTCTGAAAAAGGCCCGCCCTTAATCGGTGAAACTCTTGCACATATCAACAAATGTGCGCGGAACTTAAACGAGAACCACATTTTGAAAACCACCCGCCCTCAATCCGTGAAACTCTTGCAAAATTTGAAACGACGGTGCGCGGCGCTAACACGAGAACCCCATTTTGAAAACCACCTGCCCTCAAACCGTGAATCTCTTGAACATTGTTCAAACAAATGTGAGCAGCGCTAGAACGAGAACCCTATGATGGAAACACATGTTGAAAATGAACCGCCCTCAATCCGTGAAACTCTTGCCAATTCTAAAATTCATGTGCGCGGCGAGAAGGCTAGGGCCACATTTTGGAAACCAACCGCCCTCAATCTGTGAAACTCTTGCAAACTTTTACAATGAATGTGCGCGGCGCGAAGGCGAAACCTACATCTTGAAAACCACCCGCCCTCAATCTGTGAAACTCTTGCAACTGTTGAAAACGAGTGTGCGCGGCGCTAAGGCGAGAACCACATTTTGAAAACGACCCGCCCTCACTCCGTGCAGCTCTTGCAATTTGTCAAAAAGAATGTGCGCTGCGCTCAGGCGAGAGTCACAGTTTGAAATCGACCCGCCCTCCATATGCTGTTGCCGATATTTAACCTTCAAGATCATGAACGGTGAGGACATCTCAGGCGACACGCCTGGCCCGCCCTTTCGACTGGCCTCGGGGTGCGACAGGGAGGAGTCATCTACAAGGAATAAGAATGGAGGAGGAGGAGGCGGCGCCGAGAGGAAGAGCTCGGCGCCGCAAACATCGGACCGAAGCTGAAAACAACCAGAACACTTCCGCCGTGATTTGCGTCGCTGGAAGCCTCCTGAATGGGGTCCGAGTAGGTCGGATCCCGCCGCATCGCCGACGCATCGCCGACACATCGGCGATGCATCTGCGATACACTGGCAACGTCGGCAACGAATCGGCGCCATCGACGCGGAGAAAATCTGGCTCCACATCGACCCGCATCGTCGATGCATCGCAGATGCGGCCCGATCCTCCGACCACATCTGGTCGGACCCCGATTAGGCGGCCTAGAGTCAGGACGCTAGCATGTCTGGGATGTGTCCAGGCGCCACTCGCCAATGATCCATCCTTTTCGCCCGCTGCCCTGGCGGACCGGGAATGGCTGCGCGTGCGCGGGGGGGAAGCGGGCGGGGGCGGGGCCGCGTCGAAGGCTCCGGCCAGCACCTGGGCCCGGGCAGGCAAGGGTACTGGGATGACCTCGGGGGTTACTAGCGGAATAGGAGCGCTACATGCGAATGCCAAAGTGGTTATCTGGCCCAACCTGGCTTATACGTGTGTTGCAGATGCCCCAAGTGGCTAGGGGGTTTACGGATTTTGGCCAGGTGGGCTCCGCCCACTCAGTGGAGTTATCGAACCCCCATAACTCACTTGGGGCATTTGTCACCCACTTATTAGTCAAGCTGGGCCAGATCCAATCTTACCAGCCCTTTAGGGCGTGAGTGGTCAAAAGCGTTTCCTCTTCCAACCCACCTTCTTCCTCTTCAGGAAGGGGTTGGCCCCTCAACAATAAAGCAAAATGAATACTACTCTCCCTCTTCCCATGCAATTTTCCAGGAGATCTCTCGCCCTCTCCGCGTGCCTCTTTTATTCCCTACCTAGGCTCTGCCTAGAAGGATTCTTACTCGGTATGCTTAAAGGGGCGGGCAATGGGCTACACCCCGGGCGGTTCCCCCAGCATCCTCCCCGCGGTTCCCCCAGTTGCGCCCCCTGGGTTCACCCAGCTTAGCTTAGCTAAGCTAAGCTTAGCTTAGCCTGGCTTATCTCATCTTAGCTTAGCTTAGCTTAGTTTAGCTTAGCTTTGCCTAGCTTGGCTTAGCTCAGCTTATCTCATCTTAGTTCAGCTTAGCTTAGCTTAGCTTGGCTTAGCTTAGCTTAGCTTTAGCATAGCCTAGCCTAGCTTAGCATATTTTAGCTTACCGTAGCTTAGCTTAGCTTACCGCAGCATAGCGCAGCGCAGCATTAGCACATACTATCATATCATAGCATAGCCAATCATAACATAGCATATCATAGCTCAGCATAGCATAGCGTAACATAGCATATCATACCATAGCATTGCTTAGCATAGCACAGCGCAGCATAGCATAGCATAGCATAGCATAGCATAGCATAGCATAGCATAGCATAGCATACCCTAGCCTAGCCCAGCATAGCATTGCGCAGCATAGCATAGCATAGCATAGCATAGCATAGCATAGCATATCGTAGCATAGCATAGCATAGCGCAGCACAGCATCCACTATTGCTGCTGCTAATGTTGCTTTCCTAGAGGCTCCAACTCCTAGGTAGGGTCGCACTGGGATAAGTTTTGACATTTTCTCACGCAAAGGATTTCAAGCATTGACTTGTCCGATGGTTTTTGGTATTATTTTCGGTGGTTCAAACTGGTGCTCCCGCTGCAGCCGGAGCTTCATTCGGATCGGCACAGTGCTCCCGTCGTTCAAAATGGCGCTCTCGCCCCAGCGTGGGCCACTTTTCTGGATCCGAATTTTGCTTTAGTGCGGCCCCCATGATTTCCACTCCTCCGGCTTCCCCTGGTCCTCCTGTTCCTCCCGCTCCTGACACTCCAATTCCTGCTGCTGCTGCTGCTCGTCTCGCCCCAGCGCGGGCCACTTTTCTGACTCCGAATCTTTATTCATCGTTGTCGCCTCCCTCATTTCCCCTCCTCCGCCTTCCCTTGGTTCTCCTTTCCCTGCTGCTGCTGCTGCTGCTGTTCGTGCTTATATTTCTCCTCCCGCTAATCCTCTTGCTCGCCCGCTACCTCCTCCTCTTGTGCACGCAGCCTCCGTATTTTTCCGATTGCGCATCGTTCGTGCGAAAAGGGGTCTTTCTGTGTGAGCCGCTATGACACACGTCCGCGGCTAGAGAAGCATCCGCGCCATGGGAAGGGATGGGATGGAGGGGTAGGATGTCAATTGAGGCGCGAGCGCACCTAGCTTACCCTACCCCTCCTCCTGGACCTGGACGGGGCGCCCCGCGGGTCGTCAGAACATTCACAGTAGCCTCGGCGAGAAGGCGCAAATCATTGATTGTCCTTCGGTTTGGGGCCCATTTTGGCCTTCCGGGGTGGAGCTTAATCCCACCAACCCTCTGGGCGTAGGTGGTTTAGGGAGTTTCCTCTTCCAACCTCCTTCGTCCCCTTCGGGGGAAGGGTCTATCACTGTTCCCTATGAATATACACCCCCTCCCCCAGGCGACCGGGAGCCAACCACGAACAATGCGGGCACCCCCCCCACCATCCCTGGTAAAAAATATGCAAACACACTCTGCATCCAAATTCGGAGCATGCGCAGCCAACCTGATGCGGCCTCCCCCCACCATCCCTGTCAAAAACAAAACAGAGTACACTTGGCGGCGGCGGCGGCGGCGGCTGCGGCGGCGGCAGCGGCTGCGGCGGCTGCGGCGGTGGCGGCGGCGGTGGCGGCGGCGGCGGCGGGGGCGGCGGCGGCGACGACGGCGGCGGCGGCGGGCGGCACCGGTGGCGGCAGCGGCTGCGGCGGCAGCGGCTGCGGTTCGGCAGCGGGGGCGGCGGCGGCGGCGGCGGTGGCGGCGGCGGGCGGCGCGTCGGCGGCGGGCAGCGGCGGCGGCGGCGGCGGCGGCGCGGCGGAGGGCGGCGGGGGTGGCGGCGGCGGCGGCGGCGGATGCGCCCCCTGTAGCTGCCCATCCAAAGACGACTGCTGCATATGCTGCGGCTCGGGCCAAGATCGGGTGCCACGTATGTCTTGGCGGGCGGGTGGGAGTGAGCGAGACGGCTTGCGTGCGAAAAAGGATTCTTGATCACTGTTCCCTATTAATATACACACCCTCCCCCAAGCGACCGGGAGCCAACCAGGGTCAATGCGCCCCCCCCACAATCCCTTGTAAAAACGATGCGAAACACACTCTGCCTCCGAATTCGGAACATGCGCAGCGAACCCGATGCGGCCTCCCCCCATCATCCCTGTCAGCAAAAACAATACAGAGCGCACTTGGCGGCGGCGGCGGCTGCGGCGGGGGCAGCGGCTGAGGCGGCTGCGGCGGTGGGGGTGGCGGCGGCGGTGGCGGCGGCGGCGATTCGGCAGCGGGGGCGGCAGCGGCGGCGGCGGCGGCGGGCGGCGCGGCGGCGGCGGCGGACGGCGGCGGCGGGCGACGCGGCGGCGACGGACAGCGGCGGCGGCGGCGGCGCAGCAGCGGCGGCGGCGGGCGGCGCGGCGGCGACGGACAGCGGCGGCGGGCGGCGGCGGCGGCGCGGCGGCGGCGGCGGCGGGCGGACGGCGGCGGCGGCGGCGGCGGAGGCGGCGGCGGATTCGCCCCCTGTAGCTGCCCATCCAAAGACGACTGCTGCATATGCTGCGGCTCGGGCCAGGCTCGGGTGCTACGTTTGTGTTGGGAGGGCGGGTGGGCGTGAGGCCTCGGCGAGGAAGCCAAACTCACTGATTTTACGAAGTTGTTGGCACCACTTTAACCTCCTGATGGGGGGGAGCTTCTCTAGCCCCTCCCCTCCTGTGATCGATCTCCTCCAAGATGGCCCCAAGAGGCGCCCAGGAGGCCCCGAGAGGCCCCGAGATGGCCCCAAGATGGCCCCATGTGGCCCAAGAGGCCCCCAAGAGGCCACCAGGATGCCCCCGAGAGGCTCCCAAGAGACCCCCAAGAGGCCCCAAGAGGCCACCTAGAGGCACCCAAGACGCCCCAAGAGGCCTCGGCGAGGATACCAAAGTCATTGATTTTACGTGGTTTTGGCTACGTTTTGGCCTCCTGGGGGGGGGGGGGGGCGCTGCTTCAGATGACTCCGAGAGCGCCTGCCAGAGCCCAAGATGACCTCCAAGATGGCCCAAGATATCCCAAGATGCCTCAAGATGGCTCCCACGATGTTCCAAGAGGCCCTAAGACCGCCCCAAGACAGCTCCAAGTGGCCAAAGGAGGCCCCGAAGAGGCCAAAATCCGTCCAAAACATTAGAACAATCAGTGTTCTTGGCTTTCTCGCCGTTTCGCTTCCGATGGCCATCCGAGGCTTCAAGGTAGCTCCTAGAAGGCCCACGACGGCTCCAAGAGCGCTCCAAAGAGAACCCCAAGAGGCCCCAAGCAGCTCTCCGAGGCACCCAAGACGCTCTAAGAGGCGTCCGAGACCGCCAAGAGGCCCCCAAGACGCTCCAAGATGCCTCCACTGGGGGGCCCTTCCTCTGCGTGCTGCCCACTTCTCTGATCAAGCAATTCCTCTGGGCATCGTTTCTGGATGGGCTGGTGGGGTTACTTTTTTGATTAGCGGCCCGCAAGGAAAAGTCCAGAGGGCGTAAGGGCCGAGGCTGGGGCACCGCGCAAGATAATTAGCGCGAGAACGCGCGAAGTGCACATGCAGCGAGGAGACGCCCTGTCGGCGCCAGCTCGGGTAGAAGGCCAGACCAGCCGAAGGCGGCGGGAGCGGCGGACGGGAGCGCGAGCAAACGAGGGGCCGCCCAAGCGGCGCCCGCAAGCAGCGACCACTTGCCAGCCGCAGCACGCACGGGGCCTGTACCCATGCAGCCGCGACGGCCAGTTCAGCAGAAGGCAGCAGGGGAACAACCTACAGGCAAAGCGAAAGGAGCGAGAGCAGGCAGATGGAACCCTCACTCACGGAGCACCCGGTGCTCACCGATGACCACAAGAGCGCGACTGGACAACTCCGTCGAATAGGGCACACTGACTGACGAGCGTGCCTTGCTCGTTTCCCAACCCTGATGCCACGGCCTGTGCCAAAGTGGCGCGCCGTAGCCCGCTGCTATATATCCTCGCTCCAGGAGATGGCCCCGCGCATCCAAACTGCGGGGCAACAAGCGCACTAAGCCGCGCCGATCCCGCCGACAGGCGTCTGCCGTGTCCCAGGCGCGGTGAAGGGCAACTGCAGCTTGCCAGCATCCCCGTGCTGGGTAGTGCTGCAGCCCGTAGCCTTGCCACGAGAGCGAGCTGGTCTGCACGCAGGAAGGCCCTGAGCAGCGGAGGGGGGGTTATTGCAGCCGGACCCCACAAGCGGAGCCCACGGATACCATGGGCGGACGCAGCGAAGTGCACCTCGCCCCCCGGAGGGCGCGCGTGAACTGGCCCAGCTCCTTCACCTGTGGCCTGTCAATGAGCAGCCTGGAGACTTGCAGTCCTTGAGTGCCGCAAGCCGATGGGGCGCCACCATCGTGCCCGCAGCGTAGGGGGGAAGG